TTTAGTTTTATTTTGTACCCATGTATTAATTTCTTTTAGTGCCTATATTTTTTAAAAATTCATTTGTACTCATAATTTTTTAATCTTTTATTTGTACACTAATTTATTTATAATGTACCTGTCACATCACGGCCCGGGCCCCCACCACATTTCGGGCTCGACTCTGTCGTAGCATGATATTGTCCGCTTTAGGCCCCAACCACGCCCTCATGGTTTTGTTTTTGAGAACTCACACGAGAACTTCCTAGTGGGTCACCCATTATGGGAATGCTCTCGTGCAAACTCGCTTAACTTCAGAGTTTCGATGGAACCCGAAACCAGTGAGCTCCCAAAAGGCCTTGTGCTAGGTAGAGATGAGAATATACATATAAGGCTTACAGGATCCACTCCCCTGGACGATGTGGGATCTAACATTTAACAAGTTATTTATATCCATGTTTTCTTTTTTTTTAGTATTTTACATTTAACAAGTTATTTTAAATTTCGGGGACGAAATTTGTCCTAAGAGGGTGGATTGTTATATCCCACATCGCCCAGTGGAGTAGATCATGTAAGCCTCATATGCATATTCTCATCTCTACCTAGCACGAGGCCTTTTGAGAGCTCACTGGCTTCGGGTTCCATCGGAACTCCAAAGTTAAGTGAGTTTGCGCGAAAGCAATCCCATGATGGGTGACCCATTGGGAAGTTTTCGTGTGAGTTTCCAGAAACAAAACCATGAGGGCGTGGTCGGGCCCAAAGTGGACAATATCGTGCTACGGTGGAGTCAAGCCCGAGATGTGGTGGGGGCCCCCTGGATGTGACAGTACCCATTCTTCTTTATTAATGTACCACTTTGTTATATGTGAAAACCAATTTTTTTGTAAAATGTACCAATTTTTTTTTAACACTTTGGATACATTCTTTTGCCATTTATTATTTCTTATTTTCACATAGTTTTCATCCATTTATTCAATCAAAATGTTTGAATTTTTTTATTATAACCGTTTCTAATAGTATTATAATGGGGGATTTTAAATTTATATGATTATAAATCTCATAAAATATCAAACAATTAATGTCAAAACTATAAAAATATAAATATTAATTGTAATATAATGAGGTGTACCAAGTCAAGGGATTTTGATCAAACTTTGAATATCATTAAGGTTTTAGTCAAAGAATGTTAAGGATTAAAGACTGCATCCAAAGTATCCCTTAAAAATAATATGATTGCAAAGAATAAGTTAAGTATACAAAGAGGTTGTATGAGTTTAAATAAAATTTTCTTTTTCAAAAGCATGTGGTTCCTTTTGTACCTACGGATAATATGTACTAAAATAAAATTTTCTTTTTCAAAAGCATGTGGTTCCTCTTGTACCTATGGATAATATGTACTAAAATAAAATTGTCTTTTTCAAAAGCATGTGGTTCCTCTTGTACCTATGGATAATATGTACTAAAATAAAATTTTCTTTTTCAAAAGCACGTGGTTCCTCATATGTACTAAACCTACCGACTAAGTCACACAGTGACTAGTTACTGTCACAAAATTTCAAAGACAAAGAATACACATTGGTGCTTACAAACCACAAATCCAAAACTATCAAATAATATGAACATGCAGACTATTCACAAAAATACAAGATTTGAATCCTAATAATTATACTAGTCTTCCTACACTCACTCACGAGCATGTGAAGGGCGGTTTTTTAATCATGGCGCGCTACGCGCCACTTACACATTTTAGATGTATTTATATGTGTGGATTGCTTCAATTTCTTGAAACATAAAAGAAAGGTGATTATCATCTCTAATAATACAGGTAGGAATTTAAAGTTTACTAAAGTTTTTCTTTTTTTTTTAAGGGGAACAACTAGTGGAAGCCATGATTATCCACCTCTTTCAGGGAGCGGAAAGTTACTAAAGTTGAGGGAAATATTTGTGAAATTGAAACAATGTTCGTGCAAAACCTGGTGGGACAAAATCTGGAACGCAGGAAAAATAGTATCCTAAACATTTAGAACAATATTTAAGAAGAGACGCATTCCTAAAATTATTCATGTTCTTTTTGCCTAGAATCTGTAAAACCAAACAGAGAAAATCCTTATAATTTAGTTGCAACTAAAAGCTAAATAAAAAGTATTATAACAATCCAAGAACTTTAATTGACCTTGATACATATGACATCAAAACATATTCTTAACTCATATCGTTCTGTCCTTTTGAAAATTTATTGAGTTTGGTTAAAATCAAATATTAGCATTATATGGAATATAATTGCATTAAAAGTTGAAAAGGGAATTAAACATTAAAAGAAAGACTATAACCATATCATGAATTCGAAGGAAGCAAAATATTTTTGTACACTACATTTCTTGTGAAGACTCCTTGCGGACCATGTAATTCTCCTTTATTTACCAAAAATTTTGTTGTAGATGTTGAAACTCCTCTTGATAAAGCCACGTATAATTGTCCATAACTGAATACGTCGTCTGGTAGATAAATATTTTACTAATGCAGTAATTCTGTTTGTATTTTTGTTTGAATGCTCCACTAATTTACTACACCAAAGCCTATTTAACCACAAATAAATGAGGAGACTATAGATAGGGAGTTAATATTAGTAATGCAAACCACTAATTTACTTCAAATTATATTAGTAAACTTGTCACACAAGCAATTTAAGAGCAAACACAATAGTCTACGGATTCCCACATCTGTTACTTGGAAGTAACTGTACGCGTAGCAATTGAACTTTTTTAAATTTAAAGTTAATTTTTATTTATGTTGCCTTAGATTTAATTACATTTTTTAAATAAAAAATGAAAGAAGAATAATTAACCATCCACAATGTGAGTTTGAAGATGCATTCAAAACATGTAAATACTATTTTGTTCTTTTTTTTTATTTGAGTAGTTGTCCATTGTTTTTTTCTATCAAGTGATGGCATTTTAGAGATATTTGTATGTTTCACTATTTTGCAGCTCGTTTACTAATCCATAATCAGATTGAGGGGAGTTGAATTAAGGAGAAATTGAATTGAAGAAGAATTGAGATGAGGTGGAATCAGATTAGATTCATGTTAGAGTAGTTTACTAAAATTGTGAATCGGAGTAAAAAATGATATTGATCTATAAAACTGCTTACTAATTCACATAAATCAGAATGAAAACTAATGTGATTACTAAAATACCCCTATTTTAACTAATCTATTTTATACTCTAATTATTTTTAGTAAAATTTTTTTTTTATTTTAGTAGAGAGAATAATTGTTTTTAGTAAAACTTTTGTTTTTTTTTTTCATTTTTTTTATCTTTTATTGAGGCATATACTGCCCCATTTTATCTTCCCCATTTTTTCACTTTTCACCATGACCCCATCTCTCTTCCCTACCCCTTAACCTATGGCCACCGCCTTTCGTGTCACTAATCACCACTCGCCACCTCATATGTCACCACTAGCCAGCTCCCCTTGCGCACTCTCTTGCCCCAACAATTTCCTCTCTCTCCTCCTATTCTTGATTTTGTAAACGGTAATACTAGGTTCGTTTAAAAAAAATGTAATATTAGAAAGATTAAATTTGTAAACAAAATTCGCAGATTAAATAATATATCATCAATACGAATGAGCACGCATATCAATATTTAAGTAATAATTCAATCATTAATTCTCATATTATTTAGTTTATAAAATTATATCTATTATTTTATTTTTCCTAACATCACTCTTTTGTAAATGTTTAATTCGAATCACCGCCAATAAACGAGAATGAGTGCAATTCTCATTCTTCTCATTATAACTCATTACGTAAACATGCCATTGATGTGCTCCTCCTCTTATGTATATAAATTATTAAAAATGGAGGGGATGAGGAAAATCGAAGCTGACAATTCAAGCATTCTAGCACTTGTTCATCTCCTTCACGGCAGCCCGATCCGTCTATCACGGTGCACAAATGGCGCAAGCTTAGCCATCTGTGTAGCTTGTTTGTCAAAAATTCAAAATCATGAGATGACTAATCAAACCTTATAATTGATCTCTTTAGGATTTAACATTTATGGATCATATTAATTAACTAAGAGACATGTACTGCTAATACAGCTGCATGTACCAGAAAAAAAAAAAGGATATTCTATTTTAAGAGAGAGATATTCTACTCTAATCAAAATAAAAATTGGATAGGCCGCACAACGAGTCATTCATCTGCTAACTAAATATTGAACTCAGTATAAATATAATACGTTATTGTCATTTATGTGAGTTAAATTTGAAATCTCATACAAACAAGTGAAAAGAAATATAGCTAATTAGACTGCAATACTAGATGAATAGTTAGCCCGCATGATCAATCAACTCAACTCATATTATAATACTATATTGTTCATTCATTTTTCCATTATATGAAAATGTGTTTACAAACCATTTGTATAATATGTGATTGGTGATTAACATTGCATGACACTGTTAGAATCTCATTAAAAAAATAAGACATATTACATTGCATAATAAGATATGTTTGATAATCATTTAGTTTTTAATTTTTATACTTTGAGATACGAAGTTTACATAAAAATGATGAATGATGAAGAGTGGTGGGAGGAAAAGAAACAAAAAAGAATGAATGAAACAAATTTATGAAAGTGAAAGCTTAACATAATTCTTTTTTTTCTTTTTTTTTTATGAAACTTTTTTTTATACATTTTTCTATATGTCTCTCATGGTCTCACCATTCTTTCTTCATCCTATATCCTTCATTTCATCCATATTTTTCTTCTTCTTTTTTAACATAAAAATAAAAACTAAAATTTAAAAATGAAATGAATATCAAATGACTCTTAACTTTTGGATTAAAAATGAATTTTTGGAGGGAGCAATTGCAGGTCAAGGATGATAACCATACCATTCCAAGACCAAATATTGTTATCCATTTGTTAGTTAGCGCGTTCGTTTTCCTAGTTCCCATTGCAGTTTAGACCCGTAATTCTTACTAGTGCAAAAGATCAAAAAAGTTAGGCATGCTCTAAGCCTATATAAACCCCCCTTGGTTCCTAAGTTTATCATCAAATCAGAAGTAAGTTAATTAGCAGCAAACAGGCAATTAAGACATATTCAATGTCGATGATGAAGAGCCAAGCAGCTTCCCTCCTCGGCCTCACCTTGGCCATCCTCTTTTTCTCAGGTAATATTATACAAACTTCTCATTATATTTTTTGTTCTTTCTGTTTCCTATTAGTCTCTAGTATATTGTATGCATGCCTACCTGATGCAAATATGAGAGGGGTTAGTCCGCACTATATTGTAATACTGTTAAACGTGAAAGTAGGAAGTCTAAGAGAGAATAACGATGATGGATAATTCCGTGACGTCCACTAATAATTTTATTAAAACAAGGAGTACTAGTACTTTTTAAAAGGATACCGTAAAAGTTCTCAATCCGGATACATATAAGTGAACTAACCAATGTGGCTAACATGAGATTAGATATATATTTATAATTGTATGTAGATTTTTCAGTATCAATATTCTTAGTATCTAGTTCTATGTTGAACATAAATGCAGGTGCACATGCAGCGAAAATCACTTTCACAAACAACTGCCCCAACACTGTCTGGCCAGGAACCTTAACCGGTGACCAAAAACCGCAGTTATCACTCACCGGCTTCGAACTAGCATCCAAAGCTAGCCAATCAGTGGACGCTCCATCTCCATGGTCTGGTCGCTTCTGGGGCCGAACCAGATGCTCCACGGACGCCGCTGGAAAATTCACTTGTGAAACTGCAGACTGTGGCTCTGGCCAGGTCGCATGCAACGGGGCAGGCGCAGTTCCACCAGCAACTTTAGTTGAAATCACAATTGCAGCAAACGGGGGTCAAGATTATTATGATGTTAGCCTTGTTGACGGCTTCAACTTGCCTATGTATGTCGCCCCACAAGGTGGCACGGGCGAGTGCAAGCCCTCATCGTGCCCTGCCAATGTTAACATGGCGTGCCCGGCTCAACTTCAAGTGAAAGCGGCTGATGGGAGTGTCATCAGTTGCAAAAGCGCTTGCCTTGCGTTTGGTGATTCGAAGTACTGCTGCACCCCGCCGAATGATACGCCGGAGACATGTCCTCCCACAGAGTACTCTGAGATCTTTGAGAAGCAGTGCCCTCAAGCTTATAGCTACGCTTATGATGATAAAAACAGCACATTTACCTGCAGTGGTGGACCTGACTACGTCATTACTTTCTGCCCATAAGCACGAAATGGGATTATATATGCAGATGATGATATCTGTTTCTTTATGTAACAATAATGAAGAAGAATAAATTCCGCGGAGCTTGACACATTGCTGTTGTCAAGAATTTGTAATACTAATTACACGATCAAATAAAGGAACAAATATTATTTTTAGAATTTTATTTCCGTTTTATAATCATCTCTTTATATTATGTATCTCCACCAAATAGTATTTGAAATGATCGTTTTTTATTGTTGGAACTTCCAAAATAGTACATAACACAGTACAGAAATAACAGTTAATATAAAATGTTCATATAATTAAAACACGCTAGAGTATTAACTTGGATCGGAAATATAAAACCTTTTTTTTTTTTTTTGTTGAGTTTCTCCAAGTGCTAGCAAGAGTAGTTCTGTTGGTTTTTGTTTTCCTCTTTTTGGCCGGGCCGGATTTGCCTAGAAGAATTTTTTATCCTTCTTTGATTTAGATGTGCGAGTGTGCCACCACGTGGCCTAGAATGATCGACGTAGAAAAAATGTAAGCCGCCGAGCAAGTAACATTTTCTCAGCTTAGGTTTTTTTTCTACCTCAGATTCAAAGGCTTTGATCGAACAACCAAGTGATGACATGGATGGAAGGGAGGGAAAATGGAATGAGAAAAAGGAATAGAGAATATACAAGATTAAACTTAACCTACTTATGAGAAAGTATAAATTAAATGAAGAACTAGTGCGTAGAAATAAGGGTAAATAAAATTAAGACAAGACTGAGAGTAAAATGCATAAATTAAAGAATTCAAAAGACGAGTGCTAACTATTCAGTACTACGGTCTAATGATATTCCTCTTCACTTAGAAGTGAAAGGTCTTAGGTTTGAATCTCGTGGATTGCGAATTTGATACCAAATTAGGTTGCCTATTGTATGGCTTTGCCAAATTTCCCCTCTCCTTAGTGTAAAAATATCGATGTACTAAAAAAACGAGTGCTTGAATTAAATTTGCAATAGTAAAAGAGAATTGAAATACAATGCGTTGATTAAATTACATAATGTAAAGAAATTGAGAGACAAGTGCGGGAAGTAAATTGCATGAAAACAAAAAAATCTAGACTACGGCTCTTGGTTTGATTTATCCTCTTCTCATCCCACTGGTGTATCTCCTCCTCCTTCCTCTAATTTTTTATTTTTAGTCAAGTTTCGCCGCGATTTGCGGCTTGTCGATTTGGTGAGTTTTGATCTAGTGCTTCCACTTGGTCGGGTGTTCCAAACACCATCACCTTCTCTGTACTGTCTGCCTTGGATGGCAGTGTTGCTCATGGACTTCTACGCGCTTCTTTCACTTTGATGCAGGTTTTTTGTAATCTGTGGTTGTGCTTGGACTGAAGATTGGAATTGGTTGATGGGATTGTTGAGGCGAGGCTCGATTGGGGGATGGGATGCACTGTTGTAGCAGCGTTGGTTGAGGCGGTGGTTGCAGCGAACCCTCAGTTGTTTTTAGTTTTATGTTTTTTTGGGACCCAACTTTTAGTTGGGCTCTTTTTTGGTTGTTTGGAAGGTCCCATTTTGCTTTGTGTACATGTATTGGGCCTTTGTTGTAAGATTTAATTAGGATTTTGATATGATTTGATTTGGTCTAGGTTTTCTTGTCTTGTAGACAAATGATTGTTTTGATTTATTTCTTAGTATTACTCATTTGTAATCTAATAAATACCTCTTTTTGAAGAAGAATAAAGAATTAAAGTAGTATTTGAGAATTGTGAGATGGTAGAGAATTCTAAATTTACCTTAAACCCTTTATATTCATCTTTTCTACACTTGCATAAAGTGGTGCGGCCACACTATTGCATTAACCGTAAACATGGGCAGACACGAAATCACATTGACTCTAATAGTGGCATGACGACATTAAAGTCATTTCGGCCCACATTGTACTTCAATTTAGATTAGCCCGGGATCTCAGCCCTAACCCTATGTAAGCCGTACATTCCCATATTAGGTAATTGAACTACTAGATCAAAGCTAATTAGACCAAATAGCGTAAATTCGGGTACAAATAATTTCTATTCATTAGGTTATAATATTGAATGGAGATACTACTTATAACGTGTATAACACCAATATAGAGTACATAACCCTAACTGGATATACGTACCTCATACGTCCGTTAGGATTAAAATACTTACAAGATGGGTTTGGTGCCAATTGAAAACCCAGTGAGATGATACACCAATTTGTTCAAATCCGGTAGTAAGATTGAAATAGTGTTACAATCTAGTCTTCTGTTAGTTTATGAGAATTGGACAACAAATACTCTATATTAAATAACAGTAAATGGAGCAACAAATTAACTCGTAGAGAACATGATTTAACAAGGTAAAACCTCACCACTTGGAGAAATTAACGTCCACAAGCACTTTATCAGGCAAAAACTATCCACTACATATAATTGATGAGTCGATTTTGTACTTTATATTTTACCTTAATCTTAGTTATAATTTATTGGTTATTTTATTAGAACTTTGATATTTTGTTATGTATTTTTAATGTAAGATATTTGACTTTCTCTTAAGCAAAAAGTGATCAAACGGATGAATTTTGGAGTGATTTCAATTGGATGATGTTTGTCAATGTTTTAAGATAATTGTAACAAAATTCCAAATTTTTCTACCAAGCCGTTTGACCGTGGCAATGAAATAAAGACCCAGCGCGCAGCTTTCCCAAATTGACGTTTCTAAACGTTTTGGGTATTTTGAAGGTCAATATGGCATATTTTGAGAAAGATTCATTCTAACGACTTGTTAGGAACATCTTAAGCTTTAAAAATAGACCTTTTGGGACCAAATCGGAATTGATTTAGTTGGTTAAAAGATGGATTTTCCCTGCAGTCCGAATTTCAGTTTAACTAGGAAACTTTTTATTTCTTAGTTATCTTATTCTATTATGTTTCCTAGTTTTTAGAAGACATTTTCTAGGTAGGATTTTATTTTGTAGTACTATAAATAAGGATATTTAGCCATTAGAGAAGGAAGAACGCATTACTTTAGGGGAAGGCACTACTTTTGACGATTCAAGTTTATTTTCAAGGTGTTTTATATCCATGTTCTTAATAATATTTTGTTTTATGATTGTTCGTAACTAATTTCTTTTGCTAGGGTGAGGCTATGAGCCTTAGCAAGAATATGTAGTTTATTTTCAATTTGCTTATGATATTATGCATGTAAGTTTTGAATTATTAATCACCGTATTGAAACTATTTATTTGTCTTAGCGATTGGTCACCATTAGAATATTTAGAAAAGTAATTTGATGCAATTTTGGGGGAGGGTTGTTCCTGGAATTGACTAAGGCTTGTTGTGGTTAATATGTGTAACTTCTTAGGATGAACGACATGTCTTAAGGGTTATATGGTTTTTCAAAAGTTTTACAAAACTTAATAAATCTTGCATGTTCACATTCGATCTGGATACCACGAACAGATTGCATGTTAGATATACGTTCTATGTTAGAGGTTCCAAGTAGGACATACTTTAAACCTAACATTCAAAATATGCATGTGTAATTCATAAGTAACTGGAAGAACTGTGTAGGATTGTTAAGGTGACTACAGAACCCTAATGCTCAAATTTATTTTCAAAACTATTTTCTTTTGTGTTCTTTACTTTCTCAATTTATTTAATTGTTTTTAATTAAATTCGTTTTTAATATTTTAGGTTATAAAACCATCTTTTTCTAACTTTGTTTTCAAATAATTAATTAAGATTTGGTTTTAACATAAATTATTCATTCAATCCATGTGGAGAACGACCTTGCTAAATCCGACTATACTACGATTACCTTGTACTCTTGTAAGTATTTTTAAGTGTTTTTATCTCTACTTTTGCAGGTGGTAAAAATCCTATCAATAATCAAACAAGTACAAATAGGACTGGCAAAAGCCCACCTTAGTACCCTCCTAGTAGAAGGTTGTTTCTTCTTCACACCCTTGCTACTTAAACATGATCAAATGCTTGTTTTCCGCGCTCCGTCTCTTCTAAGTACACAACTGGGAATGCAGTCATCAATAACCTTGGAGCTTTATTCACCTTAATCTCATGTGTAGGGAATCTCCAATGGTAATTTTTTTTGGCCAAAATTCTCCAAAGGTAATTAAAGTAGGTTAAATTGCACTATAAATTCCGACGTGACATATTGCTTACTCAATTGACTCATAAAAAAAATTTGTCACTCCAATGGATTAGCCAAACCAAGTAGTCAAATTTATATTCAATTGTTTTCTTTCATATAACATCTACTTTTATCTTTTTGATTTGTCATCTTTTTTCACAAAAAATATTTTGTTATATATAAAAGAGATGTGGAGCTCGATTTGCCTACTCGTGGTGTAGTAAGTGTTGAAATGTCTCACATCGACCGTATCTATGAGAAAAGAAAAGTTTAAATACCCTAATCCCACTCTAATTAATACCGATGCCTTTTATGATAAAACCCCACACCTGACGGTTTGGACATGTGGTAATTATCAAGTTGAGGACAATATCGGTGTTGTTGGAGGTGGACCTTAGGTCTATTTCTCTGATAATTCTACATGGTATCAGAATCAAGGAGCGAGCTCGTACTATACTGCCACGTGATGGGTGGGTCTTCTTGGCCACACACAATGATGGTGGGTCCCTTGACCCTGTGTGTTGGGTGAGTCGTATTGGCTCCAAGTGGTTGTCGATGTGTAGATCTCCAACGTGTGACCCATTGATTGGGCCCCACGGGAGGGGGCGTGTTGAAATGTCCCACATCAACCATATCTATGAGAAAATAAGAGTTTAAATACCTTAATCCCACTTCAGCTAATACCGAGACCCTTTATGATAAAACTCCATACCTGACGGATTGGACAGGTGGTAATTACTGAGTTGGGGACAATATCGGTGTTGTTAGAGGTGGCCATTGGCCCGTCTATCTGATAATTCTATGTCATTGACGCTAGCTTTTGCCTATATTTCTTCATCAAAAGAGATTTGCAACTATGAATGAAATGATTTGATATACAAAATTAAACCAATTATAAGAAATTAAGAATTACAAGGAGCGTTCTCATAATTGTTTTTTCGCACAAAAGCACCAAGGTTGCGAAGTTGTTTTTCTTAAATATAAGGATATATTTTACGTTTAGAGTTGAGAAATTTGGCATA